GGTTAATCTCTCTGAACAGATCAATGCCCACCCTGTGGAGGGAGGGGAGTGAGCTCCCCCTCTATTTCTTCCTAGGAGAGCTGGTTGTTAAAAAGAACCTGGCACCAAAGAACACGAACAGACACTCCTCAAAAGAAGACATTTATGCAGCCAACAAACATGAAAAAAGCTCAACATCACTGATCATTAGATAAATGCATGTCAAAACCACAATGAGATACCATCTCACGCCAGTCAGAATGGCGATTATTAAAAAGTCAAGAAACAACAGATGCTGTGGAGAAGTAGGAAAGCTTTTACACAGTTGATGGGAATGCAAATTAGTTCAACCATTGTGGAAGACAATATGGTGATTCCTCAATTTATTCCTCTATAAATTATTCTATTATAAAGCTACATGCACACATATGTTCACAATAGCAAAGACATGGAATCAACCCAAATGCCAATCAATGATAGACTGGATGAAGAAAGTGTGGTACGTATACACCATGGAACACTATGCAGCCATAAAAAGAAACGAGATCATGTCCTTTGCAGGGACATGGTTGGAGCTGGAAGCCATTATCCTCAGCAAACTAACACAGGCACAGAAAACCAAACACCACATGTTCTCATTCATAAATGGGAGCTGAACAATGAGAACACATGGACACAGGGAGGGAAACACCACAATCTGAGGTCTGTTAGGGGAGTGGGGGAGGGATAGCATCAGGATAAATAGCTGATGCATGCAGGGTTTAATACCTAGGTGAGGGACTGATAGGTGCAGCAAACCACCATGGCACATGTGTACCTATTTAACAAACATACACGTCCTCCACATGTATCCTGGAAGTTAAAATAAAGTTAATTTTAAAAAAATAGAAAAATTGCTACCTTATGGAAAATCAGAAAATTAAAATCTACATTTTAAACCCAAAAATAGCCTGGCACCTCCTCCACTCTCTCATTTCCTTTCTTGCCATGTATTCTCTGCACAAGCTGTCTCCTTCCTGCCTCCAGCATGAGTGAAAGCAACCTGAGGCATCAGGCCATGCAGATGCTTATGTCATGCTTCTTATGCAATCTGCAGAACTGTAAGCCAAATAAACCTTTTTTCTTTATCAATGATGCAGCCTCTGAAATTTCCTTATGGCAACATTATTGTTCTTTCCAATGAAAGCAGGTAGAATACAAAATGAAAAAATATATATATAGAGAGAGAGAGCACCATTAAACAAACTAAGAAAATATAACTTACTTAAGATAAACAATGTTGAAAATAGAACAAAAGTATTTACAGTGAACAAAGAGGAAGCAATGATTGTTAAATATACCCATTTAGTAGGTGGTATCTGTGTGAGTTCCATAATTGTTCTGTGGTCTACTGTTTCTTAAAGTGTTTATGATGAAACACTAATTAATAAATAATGGAGGAAATTTATACTGTTAATTTTAATAAACTGTATATTTAAAGAGAAACCACACTTAAAGAGAAACACTAAAAGATACTTAGACAACTAAATTCATTAAAACGTCCTTTAATTGATCCAGTTGCATCAAAGCACCATGTGGACCCAGGAAAAAAGAGTCAAATCTGTATCTGGCAATAAAAATACAGTCATATTAAGTGACAACTACATCTGTGCCCACAGTTGTTTTATATTCCATAGACACGAGATTATTTCATTCCAATAACACATGATATATTCACAGATAGCTAACACACAATTATTCTGTGAGAAAATATTGCCCTGTTACTGCTTGTGTAAATTCATTAAAATTGTTTCATCTTTGTGACATGCTGATTAAATTTTTAGAAAGCTTATTTGGGGAGAAAAATACTTGGGTCGGAATAGGACTAAAGAGTGAAATTTCACTTCTGGTTACATTGTAGATGGTCACAAAAGACCATTGTTCCCATAGTAACATCAAGAACACACTGGAGAGGCACCAAGATCTTAATGATCTAAAGGAGAGTTGAGGGTGCAACTCAACTCCAGAGGACGTTAAGTTCTTCCTACATAGGCCATTTTTACACCTAAAGAGTTAAGAAGAATCAGCTGAATTTTCAATGACTGAGTGGCCTAGAGTAACAAAGAGTAATCTGTTGGGGCCCTAGACATAACACCATTCCTTACCGTCAGTGAGTTTCCCCCCAACAGACATTTACCATACACGCAGCAGAGTATAGCACACTGAGGATGGGCAGGAAGAAGAGGTCTCCTTAGTATGAAAAGCTGGAGCTCAACTGGAAAGCAAACAAAAAGCCTCAGGTGCTTATATCGCAAGCCCTGCTGAGGAAAGGGGCATGATCCTGCTCTCGTAACAATGAAGTGAATCAACTGAAACTAATTAAAATTGAGTTCTAACACCAAAGGTACTCAATTTATAATTAGTGCAAAGACTTTAGCTTTTCATTCGGCCTGATACAGAAAAAGGTATGGCAAACCTTCAGTTTCTACTGTTGTTTTATCCAGTGTCTCTAGCATGCAATCAAAACTTATGAGGTATGAAACAAAGCAGAAAAATGTAACATATGGTTCAAGTAAAAACTCGTCAGAAGAAACAGACCCACAGATGATCAAGATGTTGAAATTAGCAGGAAAGGACATGAAATTATCTATTAAAAATATGTTAGAGAATTGAGAGACGGAATTGGAGACAATGAACAAATTTAGCAGAGAAAAAAACCCTAAAATAAACCAAAGAGGCATTTTAGTATTCAAAATTGCAATATCTAAAGTGAAGAATGCATTGGATGGGCATAACAGCAAATGGAACCAAGTAGAAAATGTCAACAAAAATTACGCAAATTGTGGCACAGAGAGAAAAAAGAATAAACAAAACTGAAAAGAAAAAAAGAGGACATTAGTTGACATCTGGTGTCATATTAAGCCATCTACTATACACCTAATTGGAGTCTCTAAAGGAGAAGAGAAGCAGAATGGAGAAAAGAAGATGTTGGAATAAATAATGTAGAAAACTCTGACAAATGATTTTTAACTACATAAAATTATATACCCAAGGAAAACATTCTACAAAAGAAGTGGCTATATAAAGAGATTTTCTGGATCCTAGTGCCCTTTCTACCCTGAAGTGCTGCTTTCTGAACCAGAGGCCTTTCTGAAAGACAGGACCCTTCTTCCAGGGTCTTTACTGTCTTTACCGTCCTAAGCTTTCAACATTTTATCCCAAATAAAAACAGGCATTTGGGTTTCCTCCCTGGATAGCCTTCTGCACGTGATGGATGTTTGGATTGAAATTTATCCTATTGTATTCAGTAAAAATTTAATTGCAAGTGCATATTAAGAAGATACAGGAGAAACTACAAGATCTGTTGTCTCCCTCCTTGTTTTCTACAAAATATCAATTCTGTTCGTGGAAAGAAGACATTCACCCTAAGGGATAAAATATGTAAATATATCCCAGACTTTCATGCAACTACATATGGTCCTGTGACTAAATTGTGGTCAATAAAATGTAAATGGAAGAGTAGTGGGGCACTTCTTGGAAAGAGAAAGCTGGCTCATCTGAAATAGGGATTCCCCCAATAGCCATGTCTCCATTCCTCTTCCCTGCTTCCCTGATGCCTGGAAGTGTGTATGATTGCTGGAGCACCAGCTGTTAACTAAGACCACAAGGTAACCTTGGGAACAGAAGCCATGGGTATGGTTGCTGGAGCACACGATGGAAGGAGTCCAGATCATGATGTGCATGGAGCTGCCAACTCCATGCTCAGGTTTTTCTCTGTGAGCCTAGATGAGTTCTGCAGCACCTGTCTATGTCCTAGTTAGCTCTGCGATGAACTGACTGCCTCTCAGTGAAGGGTTTCACACCCACTCACACAGAGTGAAATGAGCTGTGGTTTCCCATATGTTTTAACAAAGCTGTCATCCTCAAGGGTTGATCCCCAAGATGTTCGGCAGGCAAAGCTAATACTGGAACTTGATACAAAGTGTGGCTCATTACTTCCCAGCTGCTCAGGTACTCCAAGCAAAGGAGGAAAGTGCTGGTAGAACAATATCATCTCAGCATGAAAGAAGCACTTTTTTCCCCTAATTTCCTATGGTTGTAAATTGCCACTCTCTCTAAAGAACCCACCCAAATAGGGAGGAAGCTCAGGTCTCAGGTGTTCGGAAAGGAACTTTCTACTCAGAAAGGGCTCCCAAGGAAGCTGAATCTTCAGCTGTGGACCGTGAGGAGGGAGTTTCTTCTTCCAGAAAGAAAGAAACTCTCAGCCGACATATCAATTCCTTTACAAAGGCAGGTCTCACACACACATAATCACAAGATGTAGCCCCCACCCCAGGGAGCACGAACTATCTCTTTGCAGGTGGGCCCATGAGAGAGGTAAAGAGAGCATAGAAAGCAAGACCCCTCTGAGATGCCAAGCCTCAAGAAAGGGAGAGTGTGGAGAGCTGGGCATCACAGAAACTAGGAAAGGATGCAAATCCAGCTGTCTGGAAAAGTCTGCCAATGAGTATCACGGGAGGTGTTAATGAGGAACCACCAGGGAGGAGCAGAGCATGAGAACTGCTGATCAGGTTTATGAGCGGGGAAAAAGCATCCCTGATTCAATACATCCACCTGTCAGACTTTCTCACAATATGCCATTGTTGTTAAGTGAAGATACTTTTACTGCTATCTGCTTGAATATTATCATTATAAATATATGGTATATAGTGTATATACCATATACTATATACCATACACTGAGTATATGGTATATATACAGGACAGCCTCTTGAGATTTGAAACATCACAATAATAATGAAGCACCCAGTTGGTCTTGGCGATGGATGTTTCACACAATTTGTGACATTTGACATCCATAAAAATTGTAGGAGGAAGGATTTTTATCCTGATGGACAGACAAGAAAACAGGCCTCAGAAGGTTCAGAGATTTGCCTAAAGTCACATGGTAAGAACATGGCCACACTAGGGCTCTCAAGCTCTGAAGAGGACATTCCCCCAAGAGAAAAACCAAAGACATGGCCCCAGAGCAAAGTTCGCACCTTCTTCACTGGGCACTGATTCAATCTCATTCTGCTTCTCATCACCCATGGTCTTCACCCACTCCCACTCCCACTCCTCAGCCACCACTAGAGTGTGGTTTGTGAGCTCAATCTCTCTCTTCCTCTCTCTCTCTCTCTCTCCCTCTCTCTCCCTTTGTTCATTTTAAAAGCCCGTGCCCTCCAAATAACACCGTGCTCTTTCCACCTAATCCAGGCTGTGTTCACCTGTTCTTCCACAATGGCTGACTCTTACACCTGACCTTGAATGACAGCCTGACTGCAGGTTTTCCAGACTCCAGAATTTCCTGCAAAGCCAGGAAAGACAGACTGTTTTAGGACTCATTCAACTCCTGTTTCTTTCTCTTGAAGCATCTTGTAAAGTTCACATTCTTTGCCAATGATGAGGCTACTTGCAGGCTGAGCACGGTCTAAGTTGTAAAGAATGTTTGGAAATTCATTAGGAAATGTCTGAAGTTAGAAGACACTTCACCAGGCGCATCTTCCAGGCAAAGACATCCCTGATTCACAGGATTGACACAAATTATCCCAATGAACGAAGCCCTATCCAAACTCAGCCACAGACCCGCCAGCGTGGTGAAAATGAAGTGTCTTTGTAGTTAGCTGCGTGCTGCTTCAGTGCAATCGGGGGCTCTTGTTTCAAATAGCTTCAGTAATTTAATTACTTTGTGGCCTAACCCAATAGAATGGGAATGCATTCTTTCATTAGAAATTACATAAACAACATTATGTTCACAGAAAATTGAGAAGAAAAATGCCAACCATAACCTGTCCAGTAAAATCTCAGCTGGATCCTTTCCATTCCAGCCACATGCATTCCTTTCATGAGCAAGAATCACAGTGTTATTCACTCCTGATTATCTCGAAGTGCCTTCTCTGTCTCTATAAATGCCTTCTAATTCTCATGACTAGGTGCTTGGGTCTCCTCACCTATAACACACAGGCAATAGTACCTTCCTTGCCTGGTTCACAGGGTTGGATGTGAGGATGGAACATGTAAGTACTTTGTGATCTGTCGATGTTCAGGCTCAGGGACTGGGCGAGCCAGGCCTTGCCTCTCACACTTTCCTTCTGTCATTCTGGGTGCTTCAGCATAGGATGAGATGTGCAGAGTGATGAGGCCTCTTTTACCCTGGGCTCCACTGTCTAAGCCATCCCATCCCTTACCAACACGGCTGACTAGCTGCCTATCTGGTTTCTTTGCTGTCATTCTTAGGCCCAGGACAGTCATATGTTTAATCTGAAGGCAGAGTGATACTTTGCTTTATTTTTTTTAATTTATTTTTTTTAGAGATGGATCTCAGTCTGGTGCCCAGGCTGGAATGCAGTGGCATGATCATGGCTCACTGCAGCCTCAAACTCCTGGGCTCAAGCAATGCTCCTGCCTCAGCCTCCCCAGTGGATAGAACTACAGGCACACACTACCATGTATCATTAATTTTTGCCATCATTTTTTGTAGAGACAGGATCTTGCTATGCTGCATAGGCTAATCTTAAACCCCAGGCCTCAAGTAATTCTCCCTCCTTGGTTTCCCAAAACACTGGGATTACAGGCATGAGTAACCATGCCCAGTCCAGAGTAATATTTTAAACACACCAATCAGACCCTGTCGTGCTGTAACTCTATGTATTCTCAACTGATTTAGAATCAAATACAGTTTTAATAGCAAAATACAACTTTAATCAAATTCAACTATTTTGAAGTAAATGTTTATCACAAAATGGACAAAGGCCCTAAAAGATGTGGCCTAGCTTCCGTCTCCAGAGATATCTCCTGCTATCCCTGACTCACCCTGCTCTACTTAGACTAGCCTTCCTGCTGGGCCCTGTGACAAAACAACCACATAGCCTTTGTGCTTACTGTTCCCTCGGCCTGCAATGCCCTTCCCAGGTGCTACTATGGCTCCCATGCTTCATCTAGGACTTAAAACAGTCTACCCTATCCCCATCTCTCTTTACCCCCTAGAGAAAGTGTGAGAAAGCTCACACTTCAATCAGGGCTTACCACAGCCTCAACAGTTCCTCTCCATTAGCCTCTTGAGTAGCTTGGACTACAGGACCAAACCACCATACCTGGCTAATTTTATCTTTTTTGTAGAGATGGAATCTCACTATCTTTCACAGGCTGGTATTGAACTCTTGGACTCAAGATATCCTCCCACCTCAGCCTCCAAAAGTGTGGGGATTAAAGGAATGAGCCACCATGACTGGCCTCCAGCCTTTCTTTGAGTTATATGTGTGACTCTTTCTTTGAGTCTTGTGTTTAGAACTTGCTTTATAGGAAGTGTAGTGCACTATTTTGATAAATCTTTTCTATTACACTTAGAACTATTTTCAAATCAAGGTCAGATCATGGAAAGTACTGGAGAAATTTTCCTCTTCTTTGGTATAGGTTAGATCTGGAACCCTTCAAGGGAACACTAAAAATCATGAAATCCAAACCACAAGGCCATCACACAGTCAGCCAGCAAATGGCTTCGTAAAGTATTTCCATGCTAAAAAGAAGAAAACAATTTCTCTTTTATGTCATAAAGATATGATAATACTTTTATGCCACTGGACAATTTACAAGGCACTTTCAATATCTATTACCTTACCAGATACAGCTGATTCAAAAATAACATCCTAAGAACCAAAGTCTAAGTCTTAAACATTAGACTATAAATATTGACATGACACCAGAATATATTTAAAAAGTAATTAGGACAAAAATATGAATGAAAAATGGAGCAAAAATGTCTCATTTTATATTATTAAACAACAATAACAGAAATGAAAGAGTACTACGGTGCCATGGCTTCAGAAAACATAATGAACATGCTGGAGTCTCCACAGGAAAAAGTGTTGAGGGTGTAACACTGGAAGTAACACTTTCTTCTCAACACACTTTGCAAAAGTTTTAATAAGAAAATACAAGAGTTCAACCAAATACAACTCCTTTGGAGTAATGATACATTACACAAAGTGTCCTCATTCTTGTTTCTCACTTAGTCACACTTAGAGCTGATGTGTACCAGTTTCCTAAAGGTTGAATATTTTCTCCCACTATTTTTGGCCCTGAGAGCCTGCCTCCCCAGGGATATTCTAGCCAAAACCTTCTGAGGCTGAAATAGCCAGGCAATAAGGATCCCAGTAGTCCTTAGAACATAAGAAGAAATCCTTCTTGAGCCCATCTCCCAGAGAGGGATTTTGGAGGCTGAACCTGAAGACTTTATGTGGCTCTCAGGCTTGCTCCAGCCAAAAGAGCACCCAGGGTGAGGGTTAGAAGGTCAAGGACCAGGAAGTCAAGGGTGCAGTGAGCTATGATCATGCCACTGCACTCCAGCCTGGGTGATGAAGTGAGAATCTGTCTCAAAAAAAAAAAAAAAATAGGTCAAGAAGGACAGAAAAGAGCAAACCCATAACTCTGGGATGAGCTACTACAACCAAACAGGATGAAAGTCTACCTCCTCATAATCATAGAGTGACCAGAGTGAGGATAAAGGGTCTGTTTTTTTTAACTTGAGCCATCATCTCTTGTGGAGGCAAATTTTCTGCATATAACTCCTAGCTAAACAAGAAAACCATAAAAAAAAATTTCCCACAGCTGATACAACCTTAATAGGGGCATTTTCTCTCATAGCAAATGAATTTTTATATTTTAGTAAAACTACCTATTTACTAAATAAAGATTAGTATGTTATGAAGCAAAGATTGGAACAGAAAGGGGGATGACTTGAATTATGGAAAGCATCCAGACAGGAGATGATGGTCTCTTCATAAAAATATTTTTCCCTGTTTTACTCACTCAATACAACTAAAAACCCTCAACTTTATATATAAAACAACGTGAGAAGACACTGACAGGGCAACAGAAGGCAGACTGGCTAGGGACCCCGCATCCTAAGGACCATGGTGGTGAGCTCCCAGGGTGTTCCTGTTGCCTTGGACATCCCAGACCTGGAGCTGAGGGCAGCAACCTGGAAAGGGCAATGGGCACAGACGGAAAAAGTCTCAAGAGGAGCCTGCTGTCTCTGACCAAATGGCCAGAATGGGGCAGCCCAGCAAGGCATGATACTTTGAAACAGTAACACCTTTCCCCAGCCAAATGCCTGAAAAGGCCAAGTGGGGAGTCCAGGCTTCCACACTCAAAATACTATAATGAGGTGCCCCAAATACCCTACTGAGTTGGGGACAGAAAAGGCCCAATAAGGAGCCCATATTTCATCCCTACCCAGATGTAATGAAGAAAGCCTAGTGGAGAGTCAAAGCTCTCACCACTACTCAGCAGTACGGAGGACATCCCCAGTTGTGTCCGTGGAGGCCATGTGTGGACCTAGATATCCCACCCCTGCCCAGCAGTAATGAGGAGCCCCCAATAACCTCAGATGTGAATGTAGGCTGAGTGAGCAAACTAGAGTTTTACCCCCACCTGCCAGTACTGAGGCAGCACTGCCACCTCTTCCTTGGCCATAGGGTTCTGAAAGGAAGCCAGTGAAAGGAGGTTTTAGTAAGATCCAGAGTTTTATAACATCATAAAAAAATATATCCAGGATTCAACTGAAAATTACATGTCTTAGAAGAACCAGGAAGATTCAAACTGCAAATAAGACAATCAAAAGCTACCAATACCAAGATGACAAGAGATGTCAGAATTATCTGACAAAGCTATTAAAGCAGTCATCATAAAAATGTTTCAGTGAGCAATTATGAACACATTTGAAACAAATGAAAAATGTATAAAGTCTCAGCAAAGAAACAGAAAATAACAACAAATAAATAGAAGATATAAAGAATGAAATAGAAATTCTAGAATAGAGAAATAAATAACCAAAATAAAACTACAGTTGATGGGCTCAGTGGCAGCATTAATGAAACAATGGAAAACTGACATTAATGAGACAAAGACAAAGTGAACTGGAAGACAGAACAATAGAAATAACCTAATATGAAAAACAGAGAGAAATGGACCAGAGAGATAAAAAGAAATGAGAAGAACCTCACAGACCTATGGGACTATATAAATGATCTAAAAATTATGTAAATGGAGTGCTGCCGGAAGAGAAGAAAATGTAGGGCTGAAAAAGTACCAGGAGAAATTTTGTCTGAAGATATCCCAAATTTGGAAAAAGACATAAACCTACAGATTGAAGAATCATAGTGAACATCAATCTGGATAAATTTTTTGAAAATCCACACCAAACACTTCTGGGAAATTTTCCAAAAAGGAAAATAAATAATTTTCAAAGCAGCCAGAGAAAAATTACACCTTACCTAGTGGGGCACTTGTCATCAGCATCTACGGAGAAATAAAAATTAGCAGAACATTTTTAAGTGCTGGGAAAAAAAAAAAAATCTATCAGCCTAGCATTCTGTATCTATTGAAAGTGTTCTTCACAAATGAAGAGGAATTCAAGACATTCTTATATGAAGGGAGACAAAGATAATTTATCTCTAGCAAACCTACCATAAAATAGTGTTTAAAGAAAGTTCTCTAAAGTTCTTTTATAGGAAATTTTAAAAATTAAAAAAAAAAACACACACAAAAAAACAAGCATGGGTAAGGACGTGGAGAAATCAGAATTCTCCTACCCTGACAGTGGGAATGTAAAGTAGTGAACCTATGGTGGAAAACTGTGGCAAGGTTTCTCAAAAAATTAAAAGTAGAATGTCCATATGATCCAGCAATTACATTTCTGCATATATACACCAAAAAACTGAAAGCATCAAACTGATATTTGCACACCCATGTTCATTGCAGTATTATTCACAATAGCCAAAAAATGGAAGCAACCCATTTGTCCATCAGCAGATGAATGCATGAACAAAATGTGGTTTCTACAGACAACGGAATATATTCAGCCTTAAAAATGAAAAAAAAAAAAGTCGGATACATGCTACAACATGGAAGATGGATGAACCTTGAAGATATGATGCTAAGTAAAATAAACCAGTCACAAAAGGACAAATATTTTATGATTCCTCTTCCATGTGGTACCTAGAATAGTGAAAAAAAAAAAAAATCACCAAACAGAAAGTATAATGGTGGTTTCCAGGGGCTGGGAGGAGGAGGGAATGGGGAGGTAGTGTTTAATGGGTACAGACTTTCAGTTTTGCAAGGCGAAAATGTTGCTGTGCATGCTTGCTCCTGCCTGTAATCTCAGCACTTTGGGAGGCCAGGTGGGAGGATTGTGTCAGGCCAGGAGTTGGAAAATAGCTTGGGCAACAAAGAGAGACCCCATCTCTGAAAAAAATTAAAAATTACTTAAGTGTGGTAGAGGCTGAGGTGGGAGAGTCATTTGAGCCCAGAAGTTTGAGGCTGCAGTGAACTATGAAGATAATCATTTCCTCTGTCCATTCTGTTTCACCACCAGCAATGCAACTCCATTCAAATACACATTTGTACTCTCAAGACCTAAATGAGGCATTTTTACTCCAGTTTGCTTTGTGTTTTAGTGGTTTCTCTGAAATAATTCTGTAAAGTCTCTCTTCTTTCTTATGTCAATTAATAAAGTCATTGTTCAATTAGCTTAATGCCCCACTATTAATGGGACAGAGATTTCCTTAGACATCAGAAACCAATAAATTTCCCAGTCTTTGCAAGAGGCTCTGTGTGCGTGTTGGGGAATGCCTTTAACACCTACCTGGGCAGTTTGTAAATCTGCTAGCTAACTAAAAATCTTAAAAGAAGGAATTGAAAAATAAGATGTTCATAGAAGGCTTTGAAGAGTGGTGACACATTTCTGGAACATAGAAGGCCACACAGGCTTAGGAAATATCTGAGAATGCCCTAAGCCCTCGCCTCTGACTAACTTTGAGGCTCTATGAGAGCGGAACATTACGTTTCTCTAGCGAAAAATGTCTGCAGAAATAAGAGAATGTATAGGAGTAGATTATTTAAAGCAAGACTATGGCCTTATAATGAGGCCTTTTCAACTGCAGGTTTATTCTAATCCTTGGTTGCAAACCTTCATAATGGCCTTTAGGCTTCAACTGAAATAAAAGTGCTTACTTGGTCTTTCTCACTTGAAAAGCTCTATACTCCATTTAATTTCCTCTAACTCTGAGAATTTGCCAGAAATTATTTCCCGATTCTAAAGTTTCTGAATGAAATTTTATAGCCAGAATTTCAGCCTTTCAGCTACTGATTTCAAATCAGCAATCATTTCAACAGATAAATTGCATAAAATATCAGGCTTGCCAAATGAATTTCCTAAACTGTCTGTTATTCTGTCTCCACGAATCTTTACAACTTTTATCAGTTTCTGTAAAAATACATATTTGCATGTCTATGTGAGAGACAGATGGGTAACTGAGAGGAAACAGCAGAGACAGAAACAGATATTGACAAAGATTTGCAGTAGGTGCTATTTCTTAAAACTTCTGGTTGTTACAGTGAAACATTATTTGCAGATGAAAGGATTTACTATTTGAAAACTCCATGAAAGGTAACCCAAAATTGCTAAAATTATCAAAGAATTCAATCTTCAGTATTTACACGGATTTGGGGAAATAGTCTTTCCATTATACTCATGTTAGAAAAGTAAACACATATATAAGTTTTAGTGAACTATATTCCAGTATTTATGAAAAGTAAAAGATTATATACATTATGGTGCAGCCATTTTTATCTATAAAACCACCTTAAAGAAATAATATAAGATGTATGCAGATAGCAGCACTTGTAGTAAACAACAGTTCAAAAATAATCTAAACATCATTGAAGCTGGAAATAATTCTGAAAATATGGAATAGCCATTAAATAGGACAGTATGAGCTACATTTCTTTATGTTGCTTTTTAAAATATCTATATGTTACTATACAACTGTCGCCTCCAAATCACAGCTATATTCTACATATACACATAAACACACATATACACATATTTCTGTTTGTGTATATTCAAATACATGTTCCCCTTTTCTTTGCCTTAATATGTCTGTACATCTGTGTGTGTCCCTGTATGTGTGTATCTAACCACTGGGGGAGAAAAGAATGGATAACCTTGGACAGACTGGCTAATTCAAGTTTATATCATGTCATTCCCTTTGGCTAAAGTGACCTTCTTTTCTTTTCTCCCTGCATTTATACACATGCATATACATGCTAAAATAAACACATATACAACATATATATCCAACACATGCATATATGTACATGTAATTATATTTTAATAGCCACGGGGGAAAAAAGAAAGTATACAAGCTAATCTGTCAAGAGATCATTTGCCTAGACAGGTAGATAGGAGTGAGAGATTAATAAAGCTCATGTTTTAATACTTTCAACATTTTTTTAAAATCTCACGCAATAATTTCTGATTTCTCATTTGTGGTAGCAAAGCAAAATATGGCATTTATAGGGTGCTTTCCATTTCATATGACTACAGATAAAATGTAGCATATGATCTTAAGATTGTGTTACAAACATAATTTTATTGGAAATGAAACAATAAATTTTCTTTCATACAGGGAAAATTGGAATGGATTTTGAAGGAAGGATACAATCAAAAGAGATAGGGCTCAGAGATGGCCTTCTTCCTATTAAGATAGGAGAGATAATGGTTGACACACAGGCAAGGAAACATCTGCATTTTTCACATGGGACTGAACAGCCTTGCTCTGCAATCTAGCAGCCAGACACTTCATCAGACTGGGATGAAACAAAGCTCATAGAAGGGTGGTATAGTGCCAAAGCCTTTGTGAACTGGGGTGGTGTCAATATCCTTTGGATCAACCAGAGGTTTCAAGGTAAAATTCTGCAAAATGGTGGTCAGGATTAAAAACAGCTCCATGCGGGCCAGGCCTTCTCCAGCACAAATTCTTTTTCCTAAAAATTACACACAAGATCATTACTCATTTAATTCTTTAGCTGAGTTAGCACACAGGGAGGCTGAAATTAATGTGGAATGAAGAAATCTATTAATGAATGACTAATGAACCTACAACTTTTTCTATTTACACCCAAACCTGGTTTCTTTTCTATTCTTTAGCACATATTTCTGTGAATGTACTATATGAAAAAAATCTTTTCTGTCCATGCACATTGGAACTGCTGTGTTGCAGCTTGCCAGTGACATCTTTACACACACACACACACACACATCTATCCCAACTGGCATGATACACAACACTGTATCTACTTCTCCATATACTTCTGACCCTGGACTTGACAAATAGATTTATTTGTCCTTATCTGGATTCTAAAGGATAATCAATCTTGCCACATATCTGCTCTAAAAAAAATAGTCAAGAGCTTATTATTGCCAGGTATAAAAAGAAATGTCACCAAGTGGCCACAGGCAATTCTTAGGGCATCATTTCTTTCCACATCTTCCACCCAGTTCCCCTCACCTCAGCCATTACTAATGATTCACCACTCCCCAAAGAGATTGGCAATTTCAAGATTCCTCTCAGATTCCAGGTATTCTTCTACCTGGAATGGTCTCCTACTCTGCTTTGCCTGCCAATAGTCCCCATATTCTTCCAGATTCAGCTCAGATGTTATTTATTCTATGCAATCTTCTTTGATACATCAGGATATACAATTCACGCTCTCATCTGTTTTCCACAATATTCATTAATGCTTCTAATACACTACATTTCACATGAACTGTAAATTATTCATCTGTTTTACAAACTGGAGTACAAACTCTTAAGGTAAACCCTTAGATCTGATAATGCACACA